GGGGGGGGGAGGAGAGAAAGTGGTTGTTATTGTTGTTCATTGTTTTGGAGGAAGGGAGCAATTAGTGCCAAAGGAGACAAAAGTCCCATATTCTGAGCAATGAAGGTGGGGATTGGGGGGGGGGACAACTCCAGGGTGTTACAGACTTACGGTTACTTTGTTGTGTTAACTGCAGGATCTGTGTTGGGAAAGGGGGGGCATGAATGGCCCAGAACAAGAGAATATAATGGAGGCAATCAAGCGTTGGGGTGCCTTACAATGCAATCCAGGCAATTAAAAGCTCGCCAGTTTTTAGAAATGAAGTGCCCCCCCACTTACTCTTGCTTGCCATGCTGCATAGGCTCCTTTTGGATCTCTTTTTCCGCCTAGAGTGGCCCACTGGTCCAGATAGGCGGGGGTATAAATCAAATAAATCAAATAAATAAATAAATTATGATTTCCCCTCCTTAAACTGTCGGACAACTCGAAAGTAACAGGGACCCTGAAGGCAATAGGACATTCTCCACAAACAGCTTGCCAATCCGCAGTGGCTATCCTGAGGTGCTGAGAGGAATTTAAGAGCCTGTCTGTTTATTGAAATGAATTTCTTCGAAATAAGACATTGCTGTCTTTCCCTGCATCATGGTGTGTGTGTTGTGAAGAGAGATCTGAGGGATACTTTTTGTGCATTGGAATAAAACTGTCCCCACCACCACAACATTTTGACATTGCCTCTGGGTGTGTTTGAAGTCTGAATACCTTTAAATTGCAGCATCTTATCTTTAAAGAAAGTCTTAAATTCTTAAAGTTTCAGTCTTATAGCCCCATTGAAATCAGTTTTACTTGCTTCTTGATAAACACACGCAGCCTTGTGCCACGTGCTTAGGCATTTAGCAGAAGCTGTGCGGTGGTGGAAGTTATTCACAGTTCATTGCAGTTTCTCATTTTTCAGTGTCCAGCTGTTTAAACGGAAAAGGTGAACTTTTAAGGACATGGTTCGCATTGCTGTATTATCCACCAGGAATTCTATGCAAGCTTCATGGTGATGAGAATAGCTACAGCTTAGTTCCCATCTTTTCTAACGCCTCCTAGTTGATGCAGTAAGTCGTGAGTCCTAAATGTCAGCAGAAGTTTGAAGCTTCCAGAATCACAAAATGGAAATTAAGATTACAGTGTTCATAAAAATCTGTGTTGGGACTCAAAATTACATTACACTGCAAAATCTCCACCTTAAGTCAAGCAGGTCTGAAAGGTGTATATTTCTTATTTGAACACCTGTCAAACTGTTGAGTTGCGACCGAAGTGATTCTTACTGTGATTTTTACCACTAAGAGAATGCTTCATGTTTTGCTTTGTTTTTGTTCTGATTTCTTATGTATGGGAAATATAGCTGCTTTAAACAGTTAACTACATTTCTATGCTTAGAACAAGGGAACATCTACTGACCTAGTGTAACTGAGTAGGTAAATGTGCAAGTCAGAGTTTCTGAATTCAACCTCACTTATGAATTTGCAATGTAGCCAATAAAGAAGCCGTCCCCTCACTTAGTTCCCAAATCACACCTGTTATGGGTTTAATCCTGGCAATACGTCTTAGGGCTGTTGTAAAATGTAATAATATACTGTAGAAATTTCTCTGCATGATTGAAATGCGCTATAAAATGTTTTATGTTTTCCTGGGAGGCACTGGTGTATATATCAAATGTGAATATTAGTCAATGACTTTAAAAAAAGGGAATTAACTTTGATTATAATGCCAGCGCAGCAGACAGTACCTATTTAACATCAGAGTTTCACCATTTTTACAAAGCAGTTTACTTGCCCGTTTCATAATCCTGTTTCTTTTGCTTATTTTATGGGGGGGGGACACAAACATCTGGATGTTATAAAATGATGTCCAGGGGTACAAAATGTAGTCTCTTCCTGTACTCCTTTTAACTGCCTCAACAACCACAACAGCACAAGGTGTAGCAC